GTGAGTAAATACATTTGTGCCTCACATGATCACAGTCATGGAGGAGTGTATAGAGTAGTAAAAGGTGTTTCACAATGCGTCAATCCCAGTAGTTCTCGAACCACAGGCGGTCACAGACGTCGCAGCCGACGCCAACGTGCTGCTGGAGAAACTCCTGCCAAAAGTCAGCAGTCGCCCTGGCAAATGCACTCCTGCTATCATCACATTGACGCCTCAACGCCACTTCTACAGTGTAGACACTGTGCTGTGTCGCCTATAGGGACCCAAAGCTCAAGTTTGTGGAGCGACGACAACGCCGCGCTGCAACTCTGGTGGCAAGCTCAGAGGAATTGGGGATATGCGTGGACGCAGGTGATTCAGCGTGTTTCACTCCAGCGGGAACAGGTGCAGCACATGTTTTAGAGTTGGTGCCGCGCCGTCAGCTTGATGTTCTGAAACAAGACACTTGCTGTTCGATGTCAATTTTTCGAGATGAAAGAAGCGACCACATGGAAGTGTCAGCGATGTCCAAAGTATTGTTCTGTGCCACGAAAGTGCAGACAGTACAAAGACACATGATCCACTTATGAAACTATCGGTTTCCAGACAAATCGTAGAAGAGAGAATGAAAACAAGCGTAGATCACCACAGTTAAAAGAAAAAATTAAGTTATAGCACATCTCGCCTTCACTTTTCATTGTCTCCATTCGCTTGAAATTACTTGTTTTGATTACCTTAATCAGTACATAACACGGCACGTCCATGCAACAGCAGCAGTAATGATAGCTCCCTGTCTCCTCGCATTGTGAAAGTCCAGTTGCGGTTGTATATTTATACAACTGTGTGTTTTCATTCCCTGAGTTTGTGAGATGTAGCTGCCGTTGTTGAATGTTGACACTCTCATAAGTCATACCCCGGTTAGCATTGCAGTACTGGCTGCTTTCAATTGAACTGCGCTCATTGTCAAGTGCCATTCGCCTAGTGCCATTCACGCATCAGGAAGGCTGCATCATCACGCTAGAACGAACGTTTGTACATTTTCAGCCCACTTGGACATCGCCTTGGTGGTTTTTTCTATTTTCGTCGCTTCATTCAAGCCACTGAATCAAATTGGCACTAAATACATTCGGAGATGTGCAGTTTTCTTACACACAAGTCGAGTGTATGTGTGTCACGCTCCGTAGAGTGCTACCAGTTTGTGTCCAGGTGTACACTGATTGCAAGAGCTCGTCACGCACCTGACATAACATCGCACCTTAATTTCTGCACTGCTCACCCTGAGCTGGGTTTGTGCAGCAGACCTGTACCTGTACAGTCACCTGTACAGTCAATATTCTCATAAAATGGGAGTGCAAGCACGACACGGGAATCGAAAAGAAAAAAACGAGGGTGGCAGTTCAAGTTGCTTCGCAGCAGTTCCTTCGCATTAAGCACGAAGTTGCAGGATGACAAAAATAGCGGCATTTGCACGACTCTTGTGCAGGGTTAAGGTCCCTAGATAAAACAAGTTTCCAAGGTAGCATCATTCACTGTTCTCGATGCCATCCTCCTCACTCTCTCACTCCTCCTTTTCCATACCCCCCGCATCTGTAATTGATGCATTCCTTGCACGTGATCTTGCAAATGGCTGGTGGTATTATTTATTATTATGCAAAAGGTTCACAACGAGTACGCATGCGCATATGTCTCCAGCCTAATTTTCGCCGCGATGAAAGACGAAATCCTAGCCAGGATACAAACTGCAGAAGAGGAGTTTTCCAGTTGGCACCAAGTCAGCAAAGATTGTTTAGCAGTGCATGTTCAATGCAACATCCCAATTTTTCAGCAACCCTGGGTTGTGTTAAAATAACAGAAAATGGTAAAATAACAAAAAAATGATGCACACCATGAAGTGTAGCTATAAAACATTTAATGCGAACGCCTTCGTAATTTGCGTGGCTGCATTTCCGATGGAGGCAGAAATGTTGTAGGCCCGTGTGCTCAGATTTGGGTGCACGTTAAAAAACCCAAGGTGGCTGAAATTTCCAGAGCCCTCCACTACGGCGTCTCTCATAATTATATGGTGGTTTTGGTATGTTAAACCTTACATATCAATCAATTGCGAAGAGGGTTTATTTGTTGGTTTTTGCTGAAACGCCAGGAGTGCATCTAATGCCCATCTAAAGCGTGCCAGTTGTTTCAAACATGCAGGGGCAGAACAGCAAGAGGGTGTAATGAACGCACATTCAGGAACATTTCACGCTTGACCAGTTCGAGCCACCGTCTAGCACATGGCATAAAGAAGCCAACACGCGCTGCTTCGGGGCACCTCACCGGTAGAACTCTCATATTTTGGGAAGTTCCACGCACGGCACCAGAATTACCTGGCATCACGATTGTGAAATTGGGCGCACTTAAAAAAAACTGCCAACGCAGTGCTGCTAATCAAGCGTTCTTACCAATCTGGCCGTGGTTTCTCCTTGCATGTGCACAAGCATGGTGAAACCACTCATCACAACGTCACGCCCAGTGGTCACTGACAGGATCCAGCAAGAAGCGCGTTCACCGTGGCACAGCGAACAAAACACATTCGGAGAACTGGACAAACTACGATGTAGGATGCGAGATGCCATGGCTAGTAGTGTAAAATATAGAGCTGCAGCACATTGCCAGTTGAGCAAGACACATCCCGCTTGCTCTTGTGTTGTGTCGTTTATATTAATATAGGTAACTATTAATTCTTGGACTCATTTCCTTCCATATTGCTTCATTATAATCTATTCATCGTTGCAACTGAACCCAAACATAAATGCTTTGAACCTTCTAAGGGGTGCTCCAGGAACATAGGTGTGGAGGAAAGGGGAGGGTGTCGCTACCTTGGAAACTTGTTTTATCTAGAAATCTTATACAAGGTGAATACGGAAGGACGTACACATTAAGCAAATGAGTCTTTTTATGTAATAGACACTTGTTCATTGTCTTCTTAATACCCTCAATAAGTCTTTCTCTGTAGAGAGAGGGAGAATGTGGAAGAGCAATTCAAGTGCCCTGCCCCCTCCGCCTATGACAACAATCATCTTTTGCATAGCTAAGAACAGTAGGTCATCGATCACGTGCATGGCTTCATTTAGCACCATTCGGTATATTTAACGTATCACAGAAGGAAGCTTACCTCGACCTATCGTACAGGGTAATGTCACGGACCTCGAAAATGCACTTCGCGTTAAGTCGAGCGTGCTAGTCTGCCCCGTAATGTAAACGTGATTAACAACTTTTCTGATTTGATCACGTTCGCTTTTTGAACTGCCTGTCCAGCCGGAAGACTTTTTTAAAGTGGTGCAGGACTCTACAAGTACAGTGCAAGAGCACTGCACGTGCACGGAGCGAGCAGCAGCGTGGTAGAAACCAGAAAAAACGCGCAACGTACATATTCCAGCTTCCATTTTTCTGCCAGAGATGGCACTGCCTGTACAAAGTCGCAGCTCCACCAAGCGTTGCTTTTGGTCCCATAGGCAACAAAGAAATTAGGAGCCTTTTTCCCTTCTTCAAGAACCAAGAATTCCTTATTCGGCGCAGCGTTGTTGCAAGCATTTGACATCACGAGCCAACTCAGTAGCATGGTTTGCAGGACCCATCCGTCACCAGTGCTTGCATTCCCGTTCGTGATTTAGCACGACTTGGAAGGCTGCCGGATTATCAACATGCAGTTGCTGTTGGCACTGGCCTCCTGGGCCTGTTTTTGTACCCAGACTATACAAATGGCCCGAGGAATGCGAGCTTTCTCACGTTTTCGCTGTCGGCGCTTTTTTAGAGTTGTCCATGGCATACCCATGGGGAAGGTTTGGGGAAAAACTCCAACCCGCTTGGCGCCACAGCTGCGGCGAGATGGACGACTGATGTCATTCACAACGCAGCCAATGGCGTGCGTGCTTTGGTACGACGCTGCAAATGATGTAAGTGATAACACAGCCAATAGAGAACACCGGTGAAACTGCTGCCAGATGGTTTTTCGTTTCTCCTAGCCATATCCAGCTTTGTCTTGGCAGCTAACTTGCACAAGCATTGAAAGGGAAATCTACATACAATAAACAACTGATAGAACAACCACTTTTCGTGTTCCTTTTGAGTGTGCTCTAAATACTTTTGAACTGTATGCGACATATTGATAAAATGAGGACCACATGGTTAAACAGTTGAAACTCTTTACTTTAAGAGACATGCACAGGGGAGCAATTCTTGCCTTTTAAATGAGGTGTTGCTCATAAAGAGGGTGTCCTATATGTGTTTTGTTATCGATACCTATTTCAATGTAAGCACCCATTTGTCTGTTACATAAATGTCTACTATAAAGGGGCTTGACTGTATGCCGAACCATGCACTCGTTTATTTGGCATGATTTGCGATTATTATTAGCTTCAGTAGTTGTTGGCTCATCGGTGAATGCAGATCCCAGTGAAATTCGTTTGTCCCATCAGTTCCTGAGAGCATGCTGTGACTTGGTTTTTGCAAGAAAAAGTATCGTCAGCTTTCAAAATTCTTCACTTATTTAGTTTGACATGAAACAACGAGTGAAAGACCATGATAAGAACACTCTCCAAATGGCAGTACAAATGTGTAGGATGAAGGCCAAAGTGGCTGGCACAGTATTCCGGCCGGCAAAATCATTCCATAGGCAAAGCAAGATCTAGAATTTGATCTATGGTTGGCACTGATTCATTATTGCCCTTTGTGGAAAACTAAAATAGTTCATTTTTTATAGTGGTAATGATTCCCTAGTGGTGTGCGACATGTCAACCCCAGATATTGTGAAATCGTGTACATCGTGGGCACTGAAATGCTTACTGAATAAAACAGGAAAGAATAACTATTCTTGGACCACTAAACAGAGACAGCTTATTTTCATATGTTGTTACAGATATCAATAACTACAAAAGCAGCCCACAGTTTCAATGCTCTTGTCCATTGGTCAACGTTCACGACAACAACTAAGTATGTCGAATAGGTGATGGAAAAAGAGAAGGTGTGAGAGACTCTGACAGTACCTCATCTTCACGGAAAAGAGGCCGCAGAACCACGTCACCTAGTAGCCGCACGACAGGGCCAAGGCCACGAGCATCGGCCGAGGCAGCGTAGATCATCGTATCCCTGCAGCATGGAGAACCGGCGTGGCACAACATAGCAGTGCACGAGAGGACAATGCTGATGTTTGCTGCCATAATAATAATGACAATAATATTATTTTGTGTTTTTTGTCACGATTTTATTGAGAGATGTCATAGTGGAGGGCCGCAGAAATTTCCAGCGCCTAGTGTTTTTTAGTATGCGCTGACATGGCAGAGTACGTGGGCCTCTATCGTAATTGTGCCTCAGGAATTGAACCAACCACCTTCAGGTCACCAGCCGTCGACGTTCCGGAGTACAAAAGGCTAAATTTTGTCAAAGGGGATACATTCTTTAGACATAAGCAAGGTTCAAAGTGAATTCGAGGCCAATTTCAGTTGTGTGATTTTGGCTGAATAACTTGAATAGAATTCGAATAGTATATATATCACATATCACAAACAAAGATAGGTATATCTGTCATGACCTAATTATGCACCATATTTTTTAATTGAAACAAGGCCTGTGTAAATGCTTTGTTTTTGCTTCAAGGGAAGTGTAAACAACAGCAGGATTTGACTTCCGGTAGAATGCAAGTGATAACCTGTAAAATATATTACATTTTAAAACTTGCTTTACTTGGAGCATGTAAATCGGTGTAACAAGCTTTAAGCTTATAAAATGAACTGATTCAAGGGTAATATCTTAATTTAAAGTTGAGGTGGAGCTTCACAGCAGTGAGGATTTTGCTTTAGCGGCTTAGCACTACTTTACTGCAGTGAAACCACCTTTACAGAGATTACATACAAACCCAAATACATTTAAATAGGTGTTCTCACGGCTTAGTACTTTTCTATTGTAGTAAAACCACATTTACAAAAAAATTACATGCAGATTAATATACACCTATTCAGATAATATACATAATGAACAATATACATAAATGTTCACGAAAAGGTCGCCCAGCAGTTGCATTTGATTAGCCTCGATGATTACGCATGTGAGCTGCTGATGATGTTTCACGACAACAGTACACTTTTCAAACTACAGCTTGCAACCACAATCTCTGCAGGCAATCTGTTTGGTGACTGCAGGGTTGGCTCATGCCCGTGCAGCTTATGAAAATTCAGAACATAAAATTTATAGGACCACTAACAAGAGGACACTATAGCAGTACTGGACGCAAAGCTATGCGACAAGGCCAGTGCGGCCACGAACCGTGCTGCAGTTTGGATACACTTGCCTAGAACCTTGGCAATCACAGATGCCACCTTGCTTCTCCAGCTCCTGAAGTACCGCGTCTCGGTTTTCGAACTCCTGTGTCGACTGAAACACAGCCAAGCACACACTATTTTTGGCACTGTCATTCACTGCTATTTTTTGCGTTACACACTCTGCCAACTACTTATCTCAATTATCACTTGCTTCATCACGTCACAACTTATAGATGCTGTGTAATACAACAAGAGAGCAATGAACAATGATGCCCACAGTAACATCAGTGCACATGTGATAACTCAAGAGCTGTATCTCTATTAATGTCTCAATGCAAGTGGAAAAGTCCCACTGACATCATGCGAACTCAACGAAACAAGATTAATTTTATTAGGTAAAGCTTCTTGTTGGGTGCATGACGCGTTTGCATTGTCTTTTATCATTTTGCTTGACCAATACTCTTTTGTCAGCCTACTAGCATATTCTTGATAAGTGAATATGTACTCCAGTAAACTATCATTAAATGGAAGATGTTCTGTTTCACAGGAGTTGCGGTTGTACAGGTACAAAACCAATCATATTAGTAGTTCCATTCATGAGGTTTCCATTTAGTGGTAATGAGAGTCTATATCAATCCACTCTCACTTTCCTTTAAGAACACTCAGAATCAAAGACTTTTGGGAACAACATTTCTAAATAAACTATCTTAAGCAGTCATATGTTTGAGCTCAATCGTCAGTGAGTTTTGTGCTACTTCATCGGTGGAAACCGCTTGTTGAAACATTCAATGCAATTACACAAGAGGCCAGACCTGGTCTATCGCATTGAAGGGTTGCTCATCAATGACTTTTCATCTTGCTCCGCACTCGTAGATGTAGCGAAAAGAGGCTGTGGTTGCTGTCACTCCCGCTTGATCGCCACATGCTCGCATATCCCCTTTCATAAAAATTGACAGTAAAACCTTGCATAAACACAGCAGCAATGTCGTGTGACTGCAATAGACTGGAGACCGGCAAGCACAGCCAAGGCAACTATACCAGAGTCTACAGGTGAAAGTGATGACAGCGTTGCCTGGATTTTCATTAAAGACGCTCTGCAACACTTTTTTGAGTCTAATTTTTAGCACTACCACTTCACAAATCACAAGTTTTTTTCAGCATCCTTCAAGCAGAGCAACAGGTATTTCTCGCATGCTTCAAGCTCTGCCCTTTCGTGAGCATGCCGATAGCTACGCAGGGTGACAAGTAATTTGCGTCCCTTTGTTTTCTTTTCTTGTTTTTCTTTGAAAGAACGACTTACTTTCAGTGTGATTGTGCGTGGCGGCAGCTACGGTATGAACTGAAGGTGTATTGCAGGTCTGTTCCATAACTTGTAGACTTCTAGCTGACTATGAGAATTTACTGCAAATTCTAGTCTATGTGTTTGGCTTTTGGGAGCCTCGGCGATCGGCAGTGTTTTCTGGTCATGCCCAAAAAGTGTTGCAGGGCCTCTTTAATAAATGCTTCTGTGCAGAGCCGCCCCTGGCACTACCATCCAAGTCCTCTCTTGCACTTCCCCGTCGTCATACCTTGGCTGAATAGCTTTCTTGTAGCCAGAGGCACGAAATGAGTAGATCCCAATTTCGCTAAAGCACTTTAAAAACAAATGTATATGCCAGTACTGTGGCATTCTTTTATTTATTTATTCATTTAAAGATTACCTACCTCACAATAAAGGCGATGTAGGTAATCTACAAGGGCATGCTGCAAAGCATATCACCTTGCACCGTTCACAAAGCTTTCTCTGTCAATGTTGCTATTCGGTCCCTTATCTCACTAGCAAGTGTCAAATTCTCATCCTTACTTTAAAGGGGCCCTGCAACCCTTTTTCAAGTTGCCATGATTCACTAAAGGAGCTTTTGGCCTCATGAATTCATCGCCGCAAAAATGTTTCAAATACGACCAGTACAAGCGAAGTGCCAACACACTGCAATTGCATTCTCTTCCCTCGTCCCAATGAAACCACTGGAAGCTAAGTGGAGAGGGATGACGTATGGAAATAAAATACATCACCCGCGCCTTGTGACCTTTATCATTCTTTTCCTTCGTAATACGCAACTCTTTTGTGTAATCGTGCGTGTGGCTGCCTCTTGAGGCGGCCCCCTGAAATGATTGAACGTGCCATGCTCAAATCAAGCAGTGGTTTATAAAATGGCTGTGACTAGTGATTTTTGAGCTTTGAGCGTCATTCGTTAAAAAAAGATAAAGCCGATTTTCAGCTGACTTTAGGAATTTATTGTGACTTCCAGGCTGTGTGCTGTGCTATAATATTTGGTTCGCGTGTTCTCGGGAGCCTTGAATACTCATCAGTAGCGTTTTCTGACCATGCTCAAAAAGCGCCGCAGGGCCGCTTTGAAACCAGCCTAGTGCTTAAATGAAGAGACAGAAGCAACAACTTACATTGAACGCCAGCTTTTCGAGAAAATGTGAAACTCCGCTCGGGTAAGGAGCTTCATATCGTGATCCTGAATCAATGACAACTGTAATGACAATAGTGACAAAAAAATTTGAATTTCAGTGGCACACACCGTGAAAAATCACATTAGTTTTCATAATGAAGATTCCGAATAATAATGATATCTGGTGTTTTATGTCCCAACCCCCCAATAGAGAGACACCACAGTGGAGGGCTCCAGAAGTATTGACCAAGTGGTGTTCTGTAAATTGCACTGACATTGCACAGGACACATAAAGCAAATTGAGAAACGCACTTTCTGATCAATGACCTTTTTTGCATCATGAGTGAAAATTAATGAGGTCTTCTGGCATACACGATTTACTGTGTGTTTTAGTCTTAGCTAAAAAAGTAAATGTCTGAAACACATTTGACAGTTGCATGTCCTGAGACCCGCCCTCGCTGTCGTGGTACAGTGAGCACATTTTGACCAAGAACTAGTACACCAAAAGTCATTACAGAAGGTCCCCCTGGCAAATGTTAGATGCTTCTAATGTGACAAACAGCAGCTGTCTAGGTCATAATAACTACAGGCTGATCTGCCAGGTTAAGCAGGGATAAATTAATTTTGCAAATCCCACCAAGTGTCAAGGCAAGCATACTTTTCAGTGCCTTTCACTGTAATTTACTGAGTACCCAGATTGTGCAAAATGACAATCAGCACAGCACAACCAGATGCCATGATGGCAGCTTTAGCTAGCTGTGATCTCATCTGTTCTTTCATACTGTGGTGTTTACATTAATGCCCTCTTGGTTCATCAAAAAAATTACAGACAAGGTGGTGCTATTCTGTTAAAGGTCCAGTCAACACGCTCCGACTCCCCTTCCACCCCATTTATTTTTACACCTTAAAGAAGAAGCCCGACCATTCGTAGGGTAGATCGCGGTGATCACGTTTTTTGAATATAACAACCTGCGTGCCGCGCAGAGCCCCCATTACAAACAATTCCAGCACTCCTTTCTTACACATGAACAATCCTCCATTCACGCGCAGTGAGGCAAAGTTGCCGATCGGCGACTTCTCGTAGCACACAGCTCATCGATTGATCTAGACCAGTCACGATGACGGGCTACACGTTCCCCTCCCCAATGTCGCGCAAAAATTCGAAACCAGCTTAAACCCATGTTCTAACCCCTGTAACTTCGTTAACGGAACTAACACCATTTTTTATGGTGACTTTTTTTTCTTTTTCGGTCAGTCAGTCTAATCACGAAATTTCGAAGTGGAAAATGCCACGAAACATTTGCGATCAGAGTATTTCTGAAGTCATATACTCGCATGCTGCAAACAGTGAGTGCGAAGGTGGTTTAAGTTTGAGCGCGGTGGTGTACTGCGCTCTGCATGCATGCGCCACTTCTCCATTTGGTCTACTGGACCGCAGCGGTGGTTTTCACCGTGCTCTTACTTTTACGTTATAAGCAGTGCAGAATTGAGCGGGGCTGGATAAGAATACACATACTTTAATTATGAGGAATGGTGCACATGAGAGCATCAGTCTGCCCAACTATGTATAGCGAAATGATAGACTCCATATTTCATAATATAGCTTCAGTTCAGACAATCATTTTCAAACCGATGCAATCTTTCTCGACTTCGCAAAAGCCTTTGATAAGGTACCGCACAAACGCCTACTGTCAAAACTTTCCCAGCTGAACCTGCACCCCGACATTCTTGCATGGATCACACAATTTCTTACTAACCGCTCTCAGTTCGTCTCCATTAAAAATACCCGTTCTAGCTCCCTCCCAGTAACATCCGGCGTCCCCCAAGGATCTGTACTCGCACCCCTCTTATTCCTAATATATATTAATGATCTTCCTGTTCATGTATCTTCCCATATCCGTTTATTTGCCGACGACTGTGTCATCTATCGCACAGTTACTAACATTTCTGAATCAAACTACACTCCAAGAGGATCTTGATCTCGTGCAACAGTGGTGTGATCTTTGGTTAATGAAGCTTATCCCCACTAAATGCAAACTCGTCTCATTTCAATGCCAGCGTAATCCTTAATAATTCTCATACCTAATCTCTAATTCCGCTATCGAACAAGTTCCGTCATATAAATACCTAGGCGTCCCCTTAACATCTTCCCTTTCCTAGAACACACACATCAACAACATCACATCATCCGCGAACAGATCCCTAGGTTTCCTAAAACGTCATTTGCGTCACGCACCACTAGACATAAAACTTCTGGCTTGCAAATCGCTCATCAGACCTAAACAAGAATATGCAGTGCCCATCTGGAGCCCGCACCAGATATACCTAACAAACGAAATAGAATCTGTACAAAATCGTGCCACTAGGTTCATTCACTCTTCATATTCATACGACATAAGCATATCATTCCTAAAACGTGACATTGATGTTGCTAATTTTTCTGTGCGTCGTCGCATAGCCAGCCTCTGTTTGATTCACAAATTTTTTCACAGTTCCCGCAATCAAGCACCTTACATCATCCCACCAACACGCATATCTCACCGCACAACCCATCTTTATTTATTCGCATGCGCACGCGCTCGCACTACTACTTTTGCTGCCTTATTTTTTCTTCGCACAGCAGTGGACTGGAATGGCCTTCCCCGTGACATTGCAGCCATCACGTGTTCATCAACGTTTGCGCAAAACATAAATACATATTGTTTGTCAGAAGATCACTCTCTGTAACCTCCATTTGTTAACCCACCCCTTATGTAATACCCCCTCACCGGGGTCTTTAAGGTAATAAAGTGAAGTGAATTCTCTCCCGCTAGGCTGCACCACATGATGGTTCCTGTTACTTTTAAGCAATATTTTGAATATAAATCCTACTCACAATGTAAATAGGATGCTGAATTCTGTGACTATATTTATTTCATGGCCTTTTCATTTTCAACTAGCATGTAGTTGCACTTTTTGGCCAGTTGTTGGTTCCTTTAATACAGCACATATTCACAAAATTTTGGTGGCAGCATATTTACAAAGCAAAATTATACATCTTTTTTTTTTATATCAATTTTCGTACATCGGGTTTATTTACTGGCCTTTTAAATGACAGAGACAGTTCCTCCTGATGAGTTTAAAGCTATCTTGAAACCGTTAGAATGTGATCTCTCTGCAACATAATACTCGTCAGCTCCCACAACCATGGTGAGCTTAGATTAAAAGAGAGCTGAGCCCTGTTTTCCGAGTCCCAATGATGAAAAGACCTTCAGTGTTTCATGAGCCACGAAATGCGATTGTCCAGTGGTGCTGATAACACACGTGAGATTAAACATCATTCTCTCCCTGCAAAGCATCAACAAAAACTCGAAGCCATAACAAAAACTCGAAGCCATACCCGTCATAACAGATGCAATATTTGTCAATGACCCCAATTGTGAACACATTGATATGATGAGTACCACATGAGAAGAAGTAGATAGAAATAGGAAGATAACGATAAATCCAGATATCAAATGATGAAAAATGATAGCTGACAGAAAATAGGACAAAATATGAAGAATTGGAATCAGAGAGCGATAAACAAAAATAGAGCTCGTAATTAGCTGGAGGTAATAACAAACAAGAGTAGATAAAAGTACACAAAGGCATATGTAGTCATGTTGAGTTACATAAAGACAAGTGTGATAAGAAGTGATGAAGTTAATACACTTAATAATAATACAACCCATTGGAGACAGGAAGAAAACACCCCTCATGTGATGTCTCCCTTGAAAAATTGAAAGGAAGGCATTGTGCAATGGCGACTAATAAGGGACCCAGAGAAGTTTTGCTTTTATAGTGTAAAGCAGCTTTAAACTATGTGCACACAGCTCTTGTGGCACTGTTGTGTCTAAACAGATTGTGTGCACACAGCACAGCTGTGGGTTCGCATAGGTTCACTTCATGTGGTTTTTGTACGCCAAATACAGGTCATGGTTTCAATCCCACATATTAAAAATGGAAGGGCGCAATGAATGTATTCTTCTTCTAAAATGTAGATGCAAAGAGCGGCTGACCAATGAGTCTGAATTGGGCATGAGGATGACCGTTGAGTGACAAAAAGATATTGATGCTTAGAAAGGCAGCCTCAGCCCAAGACGGCCTTCAGGATGTGTCAGGAGCTATTTATATATATAGTCAAGTAGATCCTCCGTGAGCGGTCATCTACTTGACTATGTGCAACGCTACGGCCACTCAACCACCATGCATATATATCCTGGGTTGCCACTGATGTGTGTGTGTGTGTGTGTGTGTTTGTGTGTGTGTGTGTGTGTGTGTGCGCGTGTGTGTGTGTGTGATTTGTAGGCCCAGGAAAGCCATTGCACTCCAATCAAAGCTTCATGCAACCTTTCACTAACCAGGTTTGCTTGTGCTGTGCCTTCCAACTGGCATGTTGCAGCTGTTTTTGCCTTCATAACACAACTGAAGCAATGGCAGGACTCACCACCCACAGTGCAGAACTGGCCAAACTTGTTTTGCGAAGCCACCCGCAGACCATTGTCGAAAGTGGTGACCTCTGTGGCATGATCTTGAGCTGAGGGCACGGCATATAATGGCTTGGGAAAGCATGGTAGGGGCTGCGACAGTGGCACTCTGGTTATCTGCTCTGCAGATGGGGGGACTGTGGTACACAATGTCCGCTGGTTGCTACCATGCCGATGGCTGCAAGGTATTGCAAGGATATTTAAACTACACCTCTGCCTCGTACCCTTTTGGCTGGATAAAAAATGAGCAGACAATGAGGCTGAACAATGATCTCCTTTCCTCTAGCGGTTTGTACAGAAAATACGTGGAATAAGCATGTGTCTCATTTACATGTGCCCCTCTTTATTACACGCCAGTTGACAAATCCTTTCTTCTAATGTAACAGCAGAGTGCTGCCTCAATGAAATTACCATTAGCTATGATCCAAAAGAACTGTACGGTAGAGAGCAGCTTGCTCAGAGGTGCTTCTACTGAGCAAGCTAGTCAAGCATTACTCAAACGTGAAGAAATATGCCCAGCATGACACCGCAGTGTGCATTTTATTACAATAAAACTGACATCTGTGTACTAACACGAGTGCCAACATTACATCGGACCTTTCAATTGACAGTGTAGTCGAGGTTCCGTATAAACACTACTCAACGTACAATCGCGCCCACAGTCCGAGTAGAGTGCGCTAGCATTGCTTCGAGGGGCAGCTGCGGTCTCTAATGTGGTGTACTTGCGTGGCCTGTTTTGCACAAGTTGAAAGATGCGCTTGTTTAATCAAGGATGCAGCATGCTCCCTCAGCATGTGAATTCCAAAAGACGCTCTGTTTTGACTGTAAAGGCAGGTGTTATCTCCCAAAATGCATCTTCTTTTGGAATTTTCAGATCAACAAGCACACCTTTCTACACTACCACACGTGCAATGCAGGTCAGCATGTCTATAGGAACACCACACTAAGAGCTTGCAACTGTCCGCAAAGTTGCTCGGATTCAACATGGAAATTCAACATGGGCTCCTACTTTCAGGCCGCACTGCATGAAACTAACTCCTACAAGGATCTGTCAGAATTTGATTCATATTTCGTTATATTCTAACGGCAGATAGTATTCAAAAACAAAGAACAACACAGCCATAATTCCGAGCATGTGACTTACTCCTGGGTTGCCATTGATATTTTTTGTCTTGACAAGCCACTGAAACCTGTTTGAGGGTCTCGTGAAAAGGAAACTTTGCTACGAGCTCCTTGAGTGGTTGGCGATGTGCATTTGGGCATCCTCCTGCTGAATGCATGCATCTACACGGAGGCAGGAATGGAGTAGACCCTGAGGGCAGCATGGCCCTACAAGAAGAGTCACCACATTTGAGGGCACCACACACTGCACCGGATATGATACCTCTCGACTGTACTCCCAGTAATCATCGCACCTTGTCACTAAACATGATCATTGCATTTTTTTTGCTTGATAAAATTGCGCTCGTACATCTGATGTAACCGGTGCTTGATGTGACCGCATCTTATATTGTTTCTTCATTTTGTTCAGCAACATGCACAAATAAATGACAGCCTCACCAACAAACTGTTTAGCCATGTCCATGAGCTTTCAAGGAATAAATTAAACGAAAGTGTGGAATCTTGTGAGCAGATTACAAGAACTGCCAGCTGATCGGTAATGCTTAAGACAAAATGCCAAAACGTATCTCTTGGTTTCCTCAGCTCTATTTCCTTTTCTGTTCCGTCTTCTTGTTGCCAGAATGACGGAGAGTGCAGCTTTGGTTTCCCGCCATGCTCTACTGGCATAATTATGCTCACAGCTGCCTTATGGTATTTACAGCCCAACAATACGACGACGCGAGCCTAGTGACAAAGCAGACTCCTTAAAAAGCCATTGCTGGGTGACCTTTACATTCCGTACAAGAAATGGGTGAACGCCGAGGGTGGTTTGAAGCCATACACACGAAACACGTGAGCCGATAAGCTTTCTGTGCGCCTCACTGTTAGAATAGTAAGGCTTGGCGACACAGTAGAATGCCTCCTCACTGTGCGAGACAATTCTCATGCCGTCGACACGTTTTCACAGCGGATGCCAGCAGCTACATCGCGCTTACTTGAAGCGTCCGCTCGCCGAGACACATCAGCACCGCATTGTGCGCGAGCTGCGCTATGTCAAGCGAGCGTCCGTGGAGCCAGCATATTCCGCTGTCGAGGACGGAGGCAGCGCAGGGGAGCACGCCTCCCTTCGATTCCCGAGGTGCCGCTGTACAATTTCTTTTCATGTCGCACAACCAGTACGCAACTGTACCAGTAATTCTGCTTCTTGGGAGCCATATATCCGACCACTAGCAACATTCGAACACTTCCTGTCAGCGTAACAAACATCGCGGTTTGACACCATACCCCAACACTCACCTATTCAAAACTTTTCGCACACCTTTCGGCAGCGCACGCCAACGACCAGACGCCATCACGTTACACTTAACGCGCACTGCTGCTCAGAAAAGAAACCGAAAGTTTCTCGAATACACACACATACAATAGTTGCCTAACTGCATTTCCGTTTAACAAAACTTGAATCTATCAGTGGAAAACTTTTACCAATTTTCTTAACGCAGCATTAACCATAAAATAAAAACTTAACTATATTTTGGCATTTGTGGGTGACAATATAAAGTTTCTCAAAATTACCTAGAGAGCACTCTGGCGCTGCAATCGGTGAGAAAGTAATCACGAAGGATAATAAGACAGTGTGGACCACGGAGGAAGGAAAAAGGTTTTTCCTTCCTCCGTGGTGTGGACATACACGAATCTAATTAGACTCTTTGAGCTAGAGCATGCTAAGACGCGTGGCAAGTCACCCCGGAAAAGAAGACGCAAACCCAAAAGTTGGTGGGATGATAGAGGTATGCGCCGACTGGTCGGCGCGCCGCCGCCAATAGTTTTCGCCGCGCCGCCGCCGCCGACGCGAACTGATCGGCGCGCCGCCGCCGCCGCCGATGTTTTTCATCGGCGCAATCGCCGCGCCATTTATGCGCCAGTACTGACTTTTCCCAGATTTGTCTTCTTTTTCATCGTGATTTCTAGCTTCGTTTCACATTTTATGTAGCCAGTAAAAACCAGGCTTCTTAGTTATCTTCATCCAGCTTCAGAGACCGAGAGTACCACTATGAACAGCGGAACGAGTTCGGCGGCTGCTGCATGAAATGACATATTGAACAAATTGACAAAAAATAAATGTAACAGTTACAGTAAAGCATAGACACTGCCATCTTAGGCTTAGAAGCAATTTATCTGTTTTTTGTGTCGTAATTAGCTATGATTATGGTGATACGACGTTGAATGTAATGGCCCAGCATTTTGATGCGTGCGAGTTCGCCATAGCACAATTCGAATATTCATACGGATAAAAAACGGCATCATTATCAGTCCAAGATGGCAGCCTATAATTGTGCCCGAAACAGGGCGTACATAAAGAAGAAATGAAGTGGTAGCAGTGCAGCACGAATGCAGCGCGTTAGATGAAGGGAGGAGGAGGAATAAATGAGGAAGGACATGGAGGTTAGGCGTTAGATGAAGAACTACACAAAACCCCGAAGGATGAAATCGAAAGGGAGAAGTTTAATGGAGAATAAAAGCGTTGAGCATAACACATGCTCGAACCTACTCAGGGTATATCAGCACCTGTCCGCGGTGTTAAAGTTGATAATTTTCGAGGATGACCACTTATACGCAGCGTCTGAACATGCTGCAAAAAATATTCACCATCTGTTTTATTTTTTAACTTGTCTGTTTGTACCGGCCTTTTAAGACATTGGATACCCGGGATGAAGATGCCAAGGCAGTAAGATGGCAAGAGAAAGAAAGGAAGGCTGCGGGATTAACCATATCTTGGCATCCGGTTCGCTGCCTAGCACTGGGGGTTGAGAAATAGGGGCAAGAAAGGGCGTGTAGAGAGACAGAAAATAAAACGCATGTGCACTCAGGAGTAAGGTGGCAAACTTAACAGAGTATTTATTACATTCTGTACAGACAGGGCGAGAGGTCTCTTGCGAATGAGCTGGGTGGCTCACTATAAAGTGTACGTTTTGACTTAATCAGCGAATGGGTCCAGAATGCGCTGTTGAATCACGAGACACACACGCCATTTCTGACGGTGCCGCTCACATTCGCTCAAGTCAAGGTCTTTGATAGGGGCGTGGCCACCACACTGCACCTGTGACACCAAGAAACCATTGTGGTCGTCTCGTCGAACGTCTTATGGTGTCGGAATGCCACCTCACTTCCCGGCTAAGATGGACAGTACACGGACGACAGCAGGCTGGCAGCCCTTCGGTGACTTGTTTGATGAACAAAGAACGTGGCCCTCCCCCATCGGCCCAGGCGCCGCGCGTAACAACGGCTATCCAGTGGTGAGAAGAGGCGTAATAAGCTTGTCTGAGACCACCAGTTTTAAAAAGAACAAAACAAAATTTTAAAAAACTTGCCAGTAGATAATTTACAAAAGACGGCTGGATTCATCAAAAATGCAGAGACCGACATTTGAGCGACATGTCATATATGACATAGTTCAGCAAACTGGTTTTCATCACGTAACTTGAACGGACCTACTGGCACTGGGAAAGGTTAAGAATGATTGTCGCTGACAGATGTACTTCTGTTGCGAAGGTAATGCTCAGAGTCAACCAAATAAAACTCAACATTATATTCAAGTCTTGATAAAAAAAGAAGTCAAGTTAGAAAGCTCCTCAGGTGGCCAAATAATAAATTACTTCACCATACTTTATGAAGAAGTAATTTGTAAATAAATAATGCAACCACTGTTTAAATGACATTCAATGACGTGACCGCAATCAACGGTGTGTCGTCGCTATAAAACGGGAAAGTTATATGTGGACACGATCGGGCGAATGCGGCGGAGAACGAATATGTCACGTAATAAAAGCGATGTGATGTTGCACATTTTCATCTTTACAACTCCGTGCCCTTTTGCTTGCTCGTGATGTGCTCAAAGGAGCTAGCCAAGTCTTAGGTAGAAGTCAAGCAGAGTAGGCGGGGCTGATAAGAGCAACGTTTATGTTCACTATTTACACACTAAAGGTAGCATCATGGAAGCTTGATGAGAGCTTCTGAGAGCTGGTTCAGAGCGTCTCGGTGCTCGCATTTTAAGCCGTGGTCTTCCTAAAATTCTCTGCAGGAGAAAACAATAGACAGTTTGCAATAATCTGCAAGGCAGCTTTTCTGTAAGGTTAGTTTTCCAACCATAAACTCTCGTTTACAGACGGCTTTTCTCGCTCATTTTGTTTTTGCCATTCACCTTTTTGAGATCTTGTGCTCGCGTGCCTTTGCTGGAATTCGGAGAGGTGACATTTTGTTGTACTCGCGTGCTCGCGTGCACTCGCTGGAATTCGAAAAGGTAAAGGCACATAGAGGGAGAAAAGCAGTCTGTGAAGGAGAGTTTTTGGTTAAAAAATAAACCTTTAGGAAAGCCCCCTTGCATATCACTGTAAACGGACAGACTGCATGTCCATTCAGTCAAGGGCAGTCCAAAGAAATTGCCGTCTTCATCTCCGTCCCCCAAATGGTGGGGGTAGTGGTTAGAAGAAGGCGCCTAATTTCTGCAGCCAAGCAGGGAGCACGGCGCAGCGAATAAAAATAAAAAAAACGAGAAGGAGAAAGAGAGAGAAAGTCAAACACTGCCTTCTTTTCTACCCAGGAAATAGAAAGGATGCACGTTCAGTTCGTCACAGGGCGAGAGAGAAACACAACGTAGGTCATAATGCAATAATACGCACAACACAGCACAGTGCAATAACGTTGCATCGCACGTGCAGAATAGGGCCTGCAGCGCTAGGCAGGCTAGGGCCTGGGGGAGTGGAAGACTTGAAAGCACCACAGAGTGTGGGAAACATACCTGACGATGAATCCCAACCTCTCGGATAATTATTCAGCGCGTCTCGTGGCACGTCGAACAAATCAAGCTGCCTCGATTTCCGACAGCTCTTCCTAGGCCGTCAGTCAGCCAGGCGTGTCCAAAGAGTTTTTGACGAGGGGAGCCAACAGCCCTAAAGAATTCGAAGTATGACTTTCGTGTTGTGGCCTCTTTTGGCGCACCTCGAGAGCGTAGACCCGGAACAAATCAGGGTAGATGAGGTGACTTTCCGCGAACCTTACCTGCTTTCCAAACCAGTTACTGCATGCAAGCTTCCCCTGAATGGATGAATGTGTGGTTGAAGAAAAAGAAAAAGACACTACCTTTCCTTGCTAGACCACTGCTCAGTCCCTTGAAGGGAAAAGGGAGAGTGGAGAAAATAGTTTAGAAGTAGGTAGGAGGAGAAGGTTTGGAAGAACGTGACGGTCATGGCTGCTAGAGCAGAAAGAGAATAGGGGCCGTCGGCAGGGCACTCCGAGTCTTACAACTTGGAAATGTGGAGTTGCAACAATGTACTCAGATACCTATAGTCATTCCCACGAGAGAAAAAAAATCTGGATCCCCTTTCTTGGGCTAGAATACAAAAAACTAGCTAAACGAGAAAACTAAAATAAGTAAAGAAATAACCGATAATCTAACCACCAATTGTCACCACAGCTGCGGAAGGAAAGAAGCAAAAACGTAATCCGCGACCTCGGCACCAGCAGCTACACAGAGGCATTTCTTCGTAGAACACTGTGTATAAGAAAAGACACGGGAAACACGACACCAATGGCGCGGCAACGACGCCACGTGTCGACCAAACTTGAGCTCACGGAACAGGGAACGAAGCACAATGGCAGAACACTGCGAGACCACTCGCAACATATTTGCGTCATGCATACCAGTCCCGACGGCACGGTGTACAGCTGGTTGGGTTGTATTGTAGTCTTTCTGAATTCCTTGAAGTGCACAAAGAGCGCGAAAGGTTGGGTACAAGGAACATGAACATAGAAAACGACTTTGCCATCAAGCCTTTTGCAGTGTGTACTGGACGAACGTAGCGACGGGTGACGAACGACAGGAATTCAGTTCTTATGCGCTTCAGAAATGACTATGAATGGAAAAGTTTTTGAATGGGAATGAAAAAAAAAATCATCAAAAACATGGGTGTTGCAATGTCCGTGCAACAGAACTGCAAGCCTGTTGGAAAAAGATGGCAGCAATATCTCATAAAGAGACTGGAGAATTAAAAGCCTCTCTGATTGCCGAGAAGTAACAGAATTCTTCAATCACGTTACAGCTTGAATAAATTGATTTCCACGAGTGATGAAGGATCACGTATGGCATCAACGGTGCGTTTCTGCCTCCTTCCTTCTTGAAATATGGCCGCGACAATTTTCATGGTAACCTAAATTACGCAGCCACTGTTTAATTGGTAGCAAATGACATGACAAAACCCATGATCTGTGTCATCGCTACATTTTAACAAAACTTGAAATCCTGCCAGATGGCGCATTGCTATCGGGAAATTTCGAGCGCTAACTAATGCCTCCACGCGACGTTCACAAGCACCCGTCCTGTCTCACTCATTCTTGTTAGCGCCTTGTTTGGCG